AAGGGGTTGTTTGTTTTTGTCAGGAACAGACATTGTTTCCAAGCTATGCTGGCTTTATAACTATCTGGAAGGACTACAGTGAAGATATGAAATTATTGTAATGAGACTCTTAAGTGTCTTCCAGGAAAAAAACTTTGTTACTTTCATAACACTTAATACACAAAAATGGAAGACGTGACCTTGAAGGATCTGGAAAAAAAAAGTTTCTTGTACTTTGAATTGAAATGAACGTTTGGCTTACCAAACGTTTGAATCTTATTCATTAATTACAAGTTCTCACTATCTCATTCTATCACTAACTTTTTATCTGCAAATGCGCAAACCAGACAGTCTTGCACTAACGTTTGGGAAGTTAATAATCACTCATTTGCAGCACTGACCAGAAGCTTTCAAAAACACAGTTACAATGAAAAAAAAAAGCAGAATGAATTCAGTGTGAAGGCTGAAAATATGTTGCAAATAACCTGGTGAGAGACAGTTCTAAGTATTAAACAACCTACCCATCCTCTGACAGCATCTTTGAGCTACCAAACAGGCACAGATGACATCACCACCCAAACTTCTCCAGGCTCCCCATACTCTTCTTTCTCTTACTTTCCCATCAACAAAACTCTACCCTTTCCTCATTTTTGCGGCTTTTACAATTTGATACTTGCTTCCCCACATACTTGGTCATTAAAAACTCACCTCTTTTCTGTTTCAAACTTCTTAAAACCTACCGTATCTAGCCCTGGTCAGGGCCTGTGTTGCACCCCACAGGCAAGTCACAAAAGTCAAATGACTATTGGGAAATGAGGAGAAGAGATAAGCAATTCCCCAAGCCCTCCTGCTTGCCAGCATATCGGCTGATTCCTTCCAGCACGCAGCCATGCCCTGCAGACTGCAGAGTCACTGCAGGAGCACAGCACACGCTGCTGCTCAGCTGGAAAAATACGCCCAGCAGTACACTTGGGACAGACGCTGCTTCCTCCCACCACCCCCTTAACCTCAGGGGCTGCACCCCCCGTACCAGATCGGGAGAATACGGACGAGCATCATCTGGCACCTATCAAGCTTGCATGCTTGCACAGACCATGTGCATGCTGCCTTCCTGCGCTTAGGCAGATCCCTTACTGTGCCAACGCCCAGCGCACAGGGGGAAGGACACCAGCCTATTTCCACCCTTCCTACGCAGTCTTCCAATCACAGCTTAACTTTGGCTTGTGTGTCAAGGACACATGATGTTCACAAGTCCCATTCAAACCCCCACTTCTTCCAAGCGTCCCAAGAACCTCCCTAGCTATTGCTATTACCAAGGGCTCTCTGAACAGCTTGCTGACGACCAATAAATAATACCGTGGAGCTCCAGCAACGCTTCTCTGCAGCCTTCCTGCTGGATCAGAGATGCCAAATCAAGTTTATCCACACGTAACGCCTCCTTTCCTGGGCTAGGAGGCCAAGGCTACTGTGGGGAACAAGCTAAGAGTGCAGAAAGGTACCTGTGGGCACATAACCAGGTACCAGGTCAGCTCTGTCTGCCAAGTAGCATGTTACAGACCTGTTTTCAGCCACTTCAAGGGGAACCAAGCAGGAAGTTAACATGTTTCCCCAGGAACACAGATCAGGACAAGCTGCATTCACTAACACACGTGCAGGTTTGAGCACACCCGAGAGGGAACCAGACTGTCATTCTGTAGATCAAATGAGCAAGCGTGTCTGTGCCACCTATTAGTACCACCGAAACCAGACTGAGCTGCACTAATAAACCCCACTCACAGAAACAACCACCTCAATTCGGTCTTTGCCATTTCTAAAATAAATGGAGGCTTCCATCTGACCAGCCATGCCAGAGCATTCAACCCAGCCAGAACTACTGAGGCCTACCTACTACAGCATGGTCACCTCCCACACATCTTCAGCCATGAACTTTCTGCAGCAGAAACCTCTACCAAGCCTTCCGACTTGTGACCATATAAAGGAAGAGGATGACTCAAAACCAAAAAAAGAAAAAGAAAAACACAACCACCCTGAAGCACCGTGCCCTGCTGAAGCCAGCTGCTGGCCACGTGCTACTGTACAACACTACGACACAGGAAAGCGTTGAAGCAAGCTGCTGCTTTCAAGTCAGCTTTGTTCCAGAAGGACATTGAAGATAAAGCACAGATAATGCAGGTATTAGATCAGTCAACTCACAGCCTTTCCTCTCTCTCTCCTTGCACGTCACAGCATAACATCCCCAAGCACACGTAGCTTCAGTGCTGCATGAACAGCTCTTCACCATATAAAAATCTACAGTACGTTTCACACCGACGGTGGGCCTCGTGGCTCATTAAAGCTGGCTTCTACAGTTCAACCAACAATGGCAGCCCAGGATGATCTTGACATCAGGAGAGCTACAACATGCCATGCATTGATTTGCTCAGGAAAGGCAGTATACCCAAGCCTGCCTACACAAACCCCCCAACCACTGTACAAAGTATGTGCTCTGGTGGAGAAAAGCTCGGCTAGGAGCATTTTCTGAGAATCTGCAACTAGAAGATGACTCTATGTTTAGAAACATGCTGACACTGTACTTGACCACAGTTTCCACAACGCTTCCCAAAAAAACCTTACATCTTGTGCCGTATTAGAATTGCCATCAGCAAACCTCTTTTTCCAAATGTCTCATGCCAGTTTTTACTCCACTGCCTCAGCACCCTCGTATGTGTACCCACTTCTCCTTTCAGCTGAGCAATCCAGACTGACCCTGACCTGCGACTCTCCCCCTAAAGAACTCCAGCCATTGGTTTATTCAAGGCCAAATTCAGTTCCCACTTGTTCTGATCACTAGTTATCGTTGCCTAAATACACAGAGGCTTTAATTTCTTGTAACTCTGCATTAGCATCTTAGAGGCTTTTCCTTATCTCCCCTCTTACCTGCTAAAGTCATAAAGCTGTATCATTTGCTATTAGATTTTCAGATTAGCCAGTTATTTCAAGGCAAGGAGGAAAGTTTTCCAGCTCCACTAACAGATCACTAATAATGCCCTGCATCTACCGAATGAATTCAGAACCGAAGTAAAGACGCAGGTGAAAAAAGCAACAAATGCAGACCAGGCCACGCTGGAGACCACATATCCACACAAGGTACCCAGAGCTCCATTCTGCCTCACAGCATGACTACTTCTTGCCCAGGCAAAAGTTCCGGCTGATGGCATTACCATCGTATGAGATCCCACAGCTCTCTGTATATACAGCAAACCAAGGATTTGATGAAGACAGGAAAGTCATAACAGACGTCAGCAAATGTGAAGACTTGAGCCTTTGATGGCAAGTCAGCACAGGTTCCAATGCTAAAATGACAAGAAAATAAATAATATTTAAAAGGCCATGATGCAAACGTGTATCGTGGCTAGGCATGAACAGAGCCCTCCGCTCCCAGGTGGGCTTACAGTAAGAGCAGAGCAAAGAGCCTTCCTAGTTCTCCTACAGGTTGCGTGAGATGTTCAGCAAGGCAGTTGTACCTCAGTTTACCTTAGTCACTGAAATGGAGGCAGAGCTTCTCTGAGAGATGCGCAATCATAAAGGACACCAGAATCCTTTGGGGGTATGTAAGTATATTTAAGTTCTCATTAAGATGACGATTTCTTTTTAAAACCTCACTGTTCAAAGTGGTAGCAACTGTAAGGATTAAAAAAAAAAAATCCAATCTTGTCTAGACAATACAGCTTTCTACTAAGATGCCTGCTCCTTATTTAGCCAGACAAGTGCTTCCACTGAGATAGTGTCTGACATTCTTTACAAAGTAGTTTAGAGCATGCAAAGAGTAACCTAACTCTATCTCAGTCGGCATTTGATGTTCCCCTGAGGATAATTTCACACTATTTGAGAACAGTGAAAGGCTCAGGCGTCATAACGTGGAAACAAGAGTAGATCATTGCAGCCCCAATGCCCTGATTCCTAGCCCTGCTTTCTGTACTTGATTTGTCTTCAGATTTGATCCAAGTCCTTCTTCTATCCAATCCAACAATCCCAATGCAAACCCCCAGGGTATCACAGGTGACAAAAAGCTTGAAAAAAAAAATTGTGGGATTTAAAGCAAAGATCGAAGAGAACCATCTAGTAATACTTCAGACCTGGCAATCTAGAACTTCAGATCACAGCAGAAGAAAGCATCAAGTCCCAGTAACTGGGGACAATGAGTCAGCTCTCCGGGAGCTACAGTGCATTCCCCAGCCTTCCTGAAACAAACAGTGCAGAACAGGGCAAAGGTCCAGCACGAAGCTGAAGGGCAAAGGTACGCGGGGGAGGGAAAACACTAACCTGCACTTTTTTGGAGCAGCGTGTTTCAGTTATCTTAGTGCCCCCTGCCCCTTAAGGGAACGGGAAGACTTACTCAAACTTGACTTGTGGAATTAGAACAAAACAGTATTTCAGAGAGGAAATCTTGGGGGCGGGGGGGGAAGGGGGGAAGAAGGACTCCTACTGCGATAGCAGAGCTCTGTTGCAACAGCCAGCCAGAAGAGCTCCACAGCTACATGCCACGACAGAGCAAGAATTACCCAACACTTTGGAAATAGGTGTGTGCTGCTCTACCAAGCTGGATACCCAAGCAAGCACATGTGTGCATCTACTCCAAATGGAAAGCGATGCTAAAGGAAAAAAAGCTTACCATAAATCTTATCTCTAGTACTGGAGACTGGTTTCAAGGAAAGTCCTCTGGCAAGCTAGTCAGCGAGGGGTGAGAAGCTAATGAATCTTTCCTCACATTTTTCTCAGTACTGGTTGCCAACCCAGCCTGTGCTCTGGCATAAAACAAAATACACTCTCTCTGAACAATAGTCAGCTAAGCTCTGATGCTTGCTACTAGAAACTAAGGTGTGCCTTCTTCTGGAAAGCACTACTTATCCTTCAAGTGTATTTGCCAGATGGCAAGCAAAAAACTCTATTCAAGAAACTAAAACACCTTCTGCATCTCCACTAGGAAAATAATGAGTGCTGTTTACTAGTGACAGCGTGCTTGCAACCAGAATGAAACTGTGACAAAAGTCAGTGCAGACAAAGCAGTGCTAGGTCATTAAAACCTGCATGCTCTTCCTTCCAGGACACAAACAGCTTCAAAAATTAAGAAGTGCCAAGTGCCTTGATGCAACATTTCTTGAAATAAATCCAGTAGGCTTTCAAAACTGGGTGCTGTTAACACCTGTCTGCACTAATGCTTGCATCATCACTAGCACTAGTGCAGGGCACAACAGATGAGTACAAAATGTTCCAGAAGGTTTAGCAGAGTCTTAACTTCAAGTCACACTTTTCCTCTATAGAAGAATTTGGAGAAAGTATTTTAAATTTGGTTTATAGCCAAAACTGCAAAGCTGTTTTTGTCAGAAAACATTTCCTTCGCTGCTCCACACACACTACCATCATGCCTGCTCAAGTTAGGCTGCTGAGTGAATTTATTTAAATGATAAGAGAATGTATAGCAACTTTTGTGTAACTAGTGGGGACTTGCACAGCTCTTGCTACTAGACCATTAAAGAGCAAGAATGAGATGAATCCCCCTTTTCTCATTTGTACCCTTGACTCTCACAAACGCATACGGATAGTTACATAACACCCATCGTGCCAAAAACGTTAGGGAAAGTTTTTTTAGCGGAGTTTGAGCTTTCACTTACAGCATCAGCAGCGTCACTGGCATCTAACTCAGTCTAGTGCTTGCTCTACTTAGCGCAGTGTTGTTCTTTTCTCGGCAAAGCGGTTAAGAAGCAAAGAGAAACTTTGTTTCAACAGTCCACCCTCCCGAAAAAGCAGAGATAACTACTCAATCATCCCATTACAAATTTCATTCCCAGCCTTAAGCACACCACAAAACTGCTGCAGCAGGT